TTAGCGTTAGTTTGTGTTTACTTCATTAACTAATATTTAGGCGAAGGCTAGCGTAACAGCTTTTGTGTTTCCAAATTATGCCAATGCAAAAATTAAAACTACTAAGACTAATCAAATTAAAATTAACAAAACGCTGCATTTAAAACTATGGCTCTCTAGGGACTACAAAATTATATAGTTTCGACCACTTAACACTAATAAAATTATTTTTGTTTGCCGTTTTCGGTTTATGGTATTGTTTATGGATTTTCTGATAAGTTTACAAAATTAAATAATTAAGCTAGGAATTTTTAAAACAAATTTAATTTGTGTTAACCCAGACCAAAACGCGCCCTCACAAGATGGCGAAAAAAAAACGTCGGCAACTTTGACTAAGTCAACTGTGTACAACAATTTTTCTTAAACGTTAAATGCTAAATTAAACAATTTGTAAGTGAGTTGGATCAACAAATTTAAAATTTGAAAAGGGTTCGCACTTTGTGAAGCATTTTAGTTCTTTTTCTTACACGCAATGACTTTTTGCTTATTACGGGTTTAGATTTATTTTTCTATTAGCAATTTAGTTTCTTTTTAGTTTCTCCTAGTTATGGCTAGGATTATTTAAGTGTTTAGAGAGTGATTTTATCTATTTCCGGGGCTGAGAGGGTGTGAATGTGAGATGGGGTGCGCTGTAATATAGACAACTCTCTGCTAAGGTCTTTCTTCTGGTTTCTAGTTTAGTTTACCTTTACTATTAGTTTTAGTATTTCTGTTTCTGTTTTTGTTTCTGGTTTCGGTATTTTTTACGGTTTGTGTTTTTCTCTGGGAGCTCTGAGTGCTGGTGTTGGCGCCTTTCGGTTAGCTACTTTTGAAGCGTTTGCTATACATTCATCTTGGTAAGTTCTTAGTCACACATTTAAACCTTAACAACAACAACAATGTTCGCTACAATTAAACAACTAACAACAACGTAAGCGTACACACCAAACATGGCTCACTTCTGTCTCGATCGCTGCTCCTCCGACTGAACCTGTTCCTGACTCTCTACTACAACCGTTTCCGGCTCCGGCTCCGACTCCTGTTCCTGTTCATCATCCTCATCCACATTCTCCTCCTTGAGCATGTACTCGAGGAGCAGCTCATCGACTCATCCCTCGCGTTGCGTGGCCGCCGCCGCTGACGTCGTGGCTGTGGCACCATTCGATGGCGATTCCAACTTAATCACGCCCAGCTGTTGCAGTTCCTCGCGCGTGTGCTGGATGCGACCTACCACCACGCCGCCCATGGTCACGAAACTTCCGTCCGCCGTCACAGCGCCCAGCTGCATGGCGCTGGAGAGATCGCCCAGAGCCGCAACATTGAAGTGGTGATGCGGCGAGCCGTCCTGGAGTTGCTGTTGCTGATGCTGGGCCACTGTCGTGGCGGAGGGCAGCGTGGTAATGGTGACTCCTCGCTGGTCGATGTGCTGCGGCTGCTGCTGCTGCTGCTGCTGTTGGGACGGAGGGGGAGGCTGCTGGTGGTGCTGATGCTGCTGCTGCTGGTGGTGCTGCTGATGCTGGTGTGACTGCTGCTGGTGCTGATGGTGGTGTGCCGCCAACGCCATGCGTCCTAGTCACCCCTCCTCCTCCTCCGTTTTGATCTTCACAGGAACGTAGACCTTGTCCATGACGTGGATCTTTATGTGGTTGTTGAGCGTGCTGGACTGCCGGAACTGCTTCTTGCAGATGACGCACTCGAAAGGCTTTTCACCTGCAATAGAACATGGGAATTAGCTTTGGGTGGTTCTTGGGCACTTCCAACTGCTTCACTTACCCGTGTGGATCTTCACATGGTTCGCCAGAGTGCTTAGCTGACGGAAATGCTTGGGACAGTAGTTGCAGTTATAGGGCTTCTCGCCCGTATGGATCTTCAGATGATTCGTCAGCGTTGACGATTGACGGAAGGTCTTATCACAAACGTTGCATTTGTAGGGCTTCTCGCCAGTATGGATCTTCACGTGGTTGGTCAGTGTGCTCAGCTGCCGGAAGCGACGATCGCAGACGGTGCAATGGAAGGGTTTCTCTTGCTCTCGGACTGCTCCTCCTCCTCCGCCTCCGGGGGCGTTGCCCTCGCCGGGGTGCTCGCCATGTCCGTTGGCCAGGTAATGATCACTGGGGATCGTTGTCGGACTGTGCGTGGTCAGGTGCGTTAGGTGTGGCGGCGGCGGAGGCGGTACCGCCGGCTGCTGTTGCTCTGCCGCTGCCGCCTGGGCTGCTGCAGCCTGGGCAGCTGCCATGGCCGCTGCTTGGGCGGCACTGTGCGCCTCCGCCGAGATCCCGCTCAGGTGCATCTGGAAGGGCAAGGGTAGTTCCGTTGGCGGCGGCGGAACCGACGGAGGTCCGCTCGATTGCTGTTGCTGCTGGTGATGCTGCTGTTGTTGCTGCTGCTGTTGTTGTTGTTGTTGTTGTTGGACCGCTGCCATGTGAGCAGGATGCGTGGCCTGGGTGACCGTCTCATTGTTATTGTTGTTTGCTATGGTGGTTTGGGGCTGGGCGGCCACTATGACGATGTCGCAGTTGCTGCTCATCGGCGTGGCAGCAGGATGGGCATGGGGCAGGCTCTTGATATGCATCTTGAACCGCTGGCTGGGATAGGGACTTGGACTTGGATTCGGTTACAGACTGGGAGCTGAAGTTGCTGGAATCTGGGAGGGCAGACTCTGGTACCTCGGTGACTTGAACAGAAAGCTGGCTAATAAACTAAGATCAATGCTTCAAAAATGCCACGACATGCTCATCTTGGTCGCTTCTCTGTTGCTGTTGTTGTTGTTGCTGTTGTTGCCGTTGCTAGTGCCTGGGTTGGAGAATGGAGATTGGGATTAGTCGAAGCGGCGGTATGGCTTTTTGGTATGCAAAAATATGTGAGGAATTCCCAAACGTACGAAATACCTAACTGCGAAATTATAAATCTAAATTATTCAATAGCTGACACAAATCGCTAGCTGGGCTCCCAGTTACTTCCCCCCTCCCACCCCCTCTACTCCTCACTTCTAGCTCTTTTTGGGCGCTATAAAGAATATGCAGCATCACCAGGAGGATTCCATCTAAACGCGTATCTTCGTTTATAAGAGTTTTACTCGCCTATTAAAAAAACTTTCCCAATTATATTTTGTTATGTACGAGGGTGAAGATTGAAGAATGTGCGGATCACACTGCTACTATAGTTGCCATGGGGTCGTAAAAGGTCAAGTTTTTATAACTTAATCAAATAATAACAAATTGGAGAAATATACCCCATAGTTGTCAAAGGATCAATTAGACCAAGATCGCAAGAATTTAAGATACATATTGTGAGAAACCTTTAAGTTATCTTTAAATCGATCAACTATATCCTCTAGATTTCATTTAAAATTCGTTTTCCATATTTGTTTTTAAAGAAACATAATATATTTAAGATACGATCATATATACGATCATATATCGTTAAAAAAGATTTAAAAAGAACTGTTTGATATTAATCAAAGTCGGACCACTTTTTCTACACATTGAATAGACTACTTAGTTTTCCCTCTATCTTTAAGGGTATATAAACTTCGGGTTGATAGCCAAAGGGCATAAATTATAAAACATACGATTATGCATTTTAAAACAAAATAAATACGCGCGAGTTGCCTGCATGCATGTAACTTTATTTTTCGATCGCTGGTTTTTACGTCCGCCGGACAGGTTACCTGGCCCGCCCCCCGCTCACCATCCCCCCTTACACACACAGACACAACCGTACGCTGAGACCAACACACACATGGAGCACTCAGGTATCTCTCTTTTTTTGTATTGAACTGACAGCGTGTTACTTTCTCGCAAATTACATGTGTTTTCCCAACAACTGAACCTGGTATTCACAATTTGACCAATTGGATAACCAGCCAAAAGCAAACAGTGATCAGCAGGATTTCAAATTGACCTTTTTTGGGCGGGCTTTTCGGGGGAGATTTTCCCTTTTTCAAAAGCAGTTTTTCCACTAACACGTTGCCTTCGGATCACCCCTCTCGCTCCCCCTTCACCAGAAACTCGCAACCACTTTCAGTCGCACACACACACACTGGACACTAGCACACACACACACATACACAACCGTACTGTGTAAAAGCTCTTTTGAGGTTAGGAGACTTTTAATTTTGGAGCTCTCCGCTCGAAATGTCCAATGTTTTTCACACGCCTATAAACCCTCCGATTACCAGGTGATTTCAATACCCATTTGGGTTTTCCAAGGCACACGCTCGCACTCTTTTCGGGCGCCCACACATTGACCTACCTTTCCATTTTGTGGCTGTGCTGTGTGGGGCCTTTCAGGTTTAGATTTCCCCCCGTTTTACATCATTTTCCGCACTTGGTTCGGTTTTTGGGGGATATAGGCCGTCGGCAGGGAGTACGCGCTTTGCTATCGCCTATCGAAAACGGGGCCTCACAGCATTATCTGTGGCTGGGTCTTCATTTATAAAAAGCGTATAAACGTTAGAAAAATAGTACAAATATTTCTTTTCTTTTTTTTACTGTTTCGCGTACAAAATAGACGCGAATGAACTAGTGCAAATTGGGGATGGGCGATATTTTTGGGGGACCTGTTACTGGTCACGAGTGTGGCGAAGTCACGATCGACGGTCGTTACTTGTTAAGAAAATTATTTTAATTTATTTTTAAATGTTTAATAAATTAAGATAAAAAATATGCAAGCAGCTCGCAACTCTTAAATAATAGTTTTTTAAATTAATAGTTCGTGGTAGTATTCCATATGAAGGTTTAAAATAAATTTTGCAATCTTAGTTTCAAAGTATTTATTGATCAAAAAACGTATTATTTAACTTGCTCTACATTGTTAATATTTTATTTTTCCTGCCTTTAAATAAAGTCACTAAAGTCCTTATACCACTGGTTAAGCTTGCCCGTGACTTTTTGTGACATCGAAAAGACCATCACTACGTAAATAAACTGGTTCAACTAGTGCCATTCACCCGTGAACGCGGTAAGTAATTTTTTCCCGCCCCAGTACGGTCACACTGCTCGGTGCAGAACTTTTATGGTAATTTCGTTTGCTTTATTTTCATTAAATTGTACTTCAAGACCAAATGCAATTGCTTAGAAAAGTGCTGGCGTTGGTGCAAGTTTTATAAAATCGTGCAGACCCGCGACGACTGCGCCTGCTCGCCATGTGCCTGTCCATTGGTTAAGCTCAGCTCGCTGTTTACTTTGTTTGTGTTCTTGTTGTGAATTGCAGCCGGCGGACGCACTTCATCTGTTTGGGGGGAAAACAGAATATAGGTGAGTCTGTGAATCAAGTTACTTGTGTCCCATAACATTAATAAGTACCTTCAATCCTGACCGCCTTTTCGTTGCGGCACGAGAGCCTGTCCATCACCTGCTGCACAAATCCCTTGGCGTCCTCCTCCTTTTGCTGAGCCACCGCTTGGACATGCGAATTGGCCCTCATTTGCATGGCCCGGATGTCCTCCTGCATCGCCTTCTTGCTGCGCTCGACCACCGCGTCCAGCGGATCCTCGAAGGGATTGCTGGGCTCCAAAATATTGCCATTACCGTTGCCGTGTCCTGCGGAATTGTGGTTCGAGTTCACGGAGGCGGTCGTGCGCTCATCCTCCTCGTTGGAACCCAAAGTGGTAGTCGTTTTGGGTGCCCCCTCTTTGGAGGACAAATCGTCCTCACCGCGAGGTGTGGACACCGGCGAGCTTGGCGGATCCATCTCCCTGGCTGCTTTTATCTGAAACAACGACGAGATATTCTCCTTGGCGCCCTGTACTTCACTGGAGATCTTGTTGGTCACCGAGTCCATGGCCCTGCCCATGGAATCCTTTGTGTCCGAGGCTGCCTTGATCGCATTACTGCCTGCCTGCTCCACAGCGTGCATGGCATCGCTGGCCATGCGCTGGGCGCCTTTACCCGCTGCTCCCACTGCACCGCCCACTGCTTCCACAGCTCCTCGAGCACCTGTGGCCATTCGCTCGCCGGCAGCTTCCATGGCGTCTCGGGCCCCATGGGCAGCATTCCTTACGGCCGTTTGAATGGAGTTACGCGTGGAGTCCATGGCATCCAGCGCTTCATCGCCGACCTTCGCCGCTGTCTCTTCGGTATGCGTCACGATTTTGTCCACCTGTTGCTCCACATGCTGCAGCATTTGCTCCCCATCCGATTCCAAATCCTCCACAGAACTCTCGAGTGGTGTGTCCGGCATTTGTTCCTCCACCTTGGCTGTGACATCAACGCCATTGTTGATGAAGCGTATCTCATTGACCACCTTGCTGCTGTCCTTCGAATCCTTCGTTGTGGTTATCTCCACAGCCAGCTGCTCGTCCTCTTCCGTGGGCGGTGTGGGCGTGTTCACTTGGATGGTGGCCGCCGGCACCTCGTCAACCGTTTCCAGGCTGGACACTAACTCGGGGGAGGTCCTTTCCAGATGGTCATGATCCATTGCCGCCTCGTATGAGAAGTTTCGTATGGGTGTCTTCTTAATCGTTTGTGGTGTGCTGGAATCACTGCTTTCCGGGTACGGAGTCCTTGGACGCAGCAGTTTTTCCTGGCTGCCAGGCATTTTTTCTTGGGGGTTTGATGACTGCATAGATTGCATGGATTTCTCAGATCTTAGAGATTCTGTTGGAGATTTAGGAGGTGTAGGTGTATGTGTAGGGGGAGTTGGTAGCTTTTGCATTGATTCCAATGGTTTTTCTGGGGATGCGTTTGATTTTGATGGAGATTCTTTGGCTGTTACAGGTGATTTTGCCGATTTTACTGGAGAGGCAACTGGACCAACTGGTTCTTCCTTAGGTTCCGATGGTTTTATAGGGGATTCCATAGGGGCCGTGGGCTCTGTCTCTTTGTAATCACCCATTGTTTTCATAGCAGTATTTGCATGATTCTCCATGTCCTTCTTATCCTGACTTAAAGGAGCTTCCATCTCTTGTTTGTTAGTTGAAGTTTGAGGAGATTGCATAGCTCTATGTTCTGCTTGATTGGATTCTTCTTTAGAAGGGCTGCTTGGAATCATATTATTTTCTTCATTGCCGTTTACCTCTTTGGGTTCCATATTCAAAGGATCGTCACCTTCAATATTTGCATTCACATCATTGTGTTCAGTTATATCTTCTTTCTCTTCTGCTTTCTCGCCATTGATTAAATGTTTCACCGCCTCCATGGCAGCAGCTGTACCGGCTCCTGCTGCAGCTGTCAATCCTCCCACAGTGGCCGCAATAGATCGGTCCTCCGACTCCTCGACCCCTTTTTGTTTGGTGAGACTTTTGCCACTATGACTCCTGCCCTGCTCCCCGTTTCCATTTGCATCCGGCGGTTGCAGGACGAAACTACGGCTCATGTAACGATTCGGCTCAGCTGAGCCACCCACAGAAGCGGACGATATCGAGGATCGCGGGATGCCCTGCACCAGAACGTGTTGATCTCCCACGGCGATGTCCAACAGCCGGAGATTCTTAAACTTGGAGATCTCGCGGAAGGTCTTCAAGTGATGGCCGCTCTCCGAGAACGTAGTGAAGAACTTGTTGGCCTTGCTGAGCACCGCGTAGAAGGAGAACCCCTTGAGGAGCTTCCAGATGGGTCCGTTCTCCTCGCTGTCGTAGTCGTAGAAGCGCTGGAAGACCAGGCTCTTGTTTCGCATCGACTCGAAGCTGCGGTAGATGCTGCCTGCATTGGTCACGATGTACACTTCGCTGGTCTTCGAGATGTGCATGAAGATGATGACCTCGGTGGGCGGCAGGTTCTTCTGCAGCTCGGTGAAGCGCGGAAAGACGAACTCGTTGAGGTGGCCGGTGAGGAAGAGGTTCCCGCTGGCGGTCAGCACCAGGGTGGACTCCGGGCCGCAGGCAAATTGTTGCACCGGTGCATCCAGACGAATCTCCACTGGATGACCGTCGTAGTCCGCCTCCAGTTCTCCCAGCTGCTGTTGGGCATTTGAACCGCAGCCAATCAAGCGACCAGTACCTTTTGATCGTGTAACATTGGGGTTAATTAGCCTATAATGATTTTTTTCTTTGACTACTTACTGGTCAGCACGGCAAAATGTTCGTTGCCCGCTTGGATGGCCATAAAGTTGTCCGTCTCCTCGCTCTTGGACAGGTAATCGTCGAACTCCTCCAGCCGAAACGGCTTCCGGATGATGGCACACTGCTGCTGCTCCACTTGGGCGCTGGTGAAGTGCTGGGCCACATGGGTGTCCTCGGGAAAGATGTTGCGACCCGTGAAAAAGATCTCGTTGGAGTCTGTTAATGGGATAGAATTTTTTTCACTTTTTTAATGGGACATAAATATATAAATATATATTCCGTTTGATTTTACCTTAATGAGTTTCAACGTAATACATTCTATTACAATTTTTGATTATACCTTTATAGAAAACATTTGCTACATAAAAGTATTTTAAAATATATTTTTTTAATATATTTCCAAGTATTCTTCGATACTTGAAAATTTTTCATTTTTTATCATACTTAATCTCATTGTTTTTAAAATCCGAATTGTTAAAATATCAATAACGTTTAACGTTTTCTTATTTTTTTTACTTACAAAATAGTACAGGCACAACTAAGTGCAGAAAAATGACCAATTTGCTACCATTCACTAACTTTTTCCCCTAACTAAAATTTTTTCTTGGGCCAATTTCTTTCGTGACAGATTGTTGAAGCCAACCAACTTTCAACGTATTTGTTGATTCACTCACGTGTCAGCATCACGGCCCAGTGGTTCCCGAAGGCGGCGTCGCAAATCTTTAATCCCAGTGTTTTCAAGGCCTTCACGCAGGTGGGTTTGGTGACAATGTCCCCATTGCTGTTGTGGCCGCCGCCCTTCTTCCCGGAGGCTCCTCCATGGCCGCCAATTCCAAGCTGCCCGTAGTGGTTCTCGCCCCAAACAAATAGTCGGCCAGATTCTGTAATTGATAAGAGCGGTTTGACATTTGCTTTGGCTTTCACCTGCTGCCGCTGGCTTTTGTTTTTGTTTTTGTTTTGTTTTGTTTTATTATGTTTGGCGGGAGGGTTGTTTCCCTTTTCTTGACTTTTATTGATTGAGAAAGTGTGCCAGTGTGGGCCAATCCCTCAATCCCTCAATCCCCAAATGTTTCAACTATTTAACTGCTCCCCCGCACAAGTTAACGCCTCAATTACGTTAGCTTCGGTTTTAGTTTCAGTTTCGTTTCGGTTTTGGGTGGATTACTTCGTGAGTTTGCTCCATATTTCAGGTATTTTAACGCCGCGTCTGACCCCATTAGTTGCTGAAGTTGCCGTGATTCGAAGTGCTTGGTCAGCTCTTCTCAGTCTGTCGTGGATTAAAAGCTTATGTAATGCGGCTTAAATGTGGGACAAATTTATTACATTGGAAAAATACGCTTTACATGATGATTGACTCGCTTCTTATTAATTAAAAAATGTAATTGTCGAGAAATTGATCGAACTTTCGTTATAACTGAAGCTAAACAGTTACAAATGGTATATATTATTTTTAGGGGGGTTAGTTCGTATTTATATTTTTCGTATTCAAAGAGATCAATTTAAATTTTGGTACTTTAATTACAATATTAACTAGAAATGGGAATGTTTCCTTTACGTGCAAGGTTTGAAGGGAAAAGCACAGGCAGTAATCAATTTCGATACGGATTGGGCGGATGAAATATTTAAAACGCCCCTGCAATACTCCTTATCCTGGTCACAAATTTGTCGGGCTACAAAATCCGGTTGTAGTTTAGTAATTTAATAGACCCCGCAAGACTCACAGACAACTTGGCCATTGCAAAGACTTGGCCAACAAGAAAGTGAAAGTGTCCGGGGCGTTCAGCTTATTATTATTTAAAGAAAATTGCACTCAACATGCAACCGACCACCGACCACCGACCACCGAGCGCCAATAGATTTTGACTTGACCACTTGACCAGGGGTTGCATGGCTTGACCAGCCAAAGGGATTGGGGTCGCGTAGTTACCACAAATGACAGCGCTCTGGTTTGGACCGGAAATCAGGCGCTTCACAGGATCGTTTTTGATGTAGAAATAACTCTGGGTATTCTCCGCCAGATGGGATTTGCCCAGGGTGAATATGGCTCCGCTGCTGGGAATGTCCATGATGAAATTGTTACTTTTGCGTTCCTAACTTTATGTGGATTTTGCTAGATTTTTATTGATTTTAGTATCAGTGAGTCTTGCATATTTTTCGCCGGCTGCATTTCAAATGTTTATGGATTGCCCCTAGGCGCACATATTTGTACACAACAAAGCCATTTGGAGTTGCGTGCTCCCAATTCCCGAGGCGGATACTGCCGTGGCTATTCTGGCCGGCACTTGCGGTCAGTCGGACGATTCAGCGCGTACTGGTCAGCCAGGACTAGGGCTGGCAGTCTAGCAGTCTAGCAGGCTAACTGACTGGCCACTAGCCGCTAGCCAGTAGCTCACTAACTCACTAGCTCACTCGCACTCCCACAAATGGGCCATCAATATTGGGCCATTTGAGCCGGCCCGCATAAGTGTGCTATGGAAATGTGAGTGAGTGAGTTTTGCCCACTAAAAGAGTGAGTCACCCTACTCCGTCCGTTTTTCCGAGTTAAGTTATTCCGTGCGCCAAAGAGCGAGTATGGGAACTCGGTTTTTTCGGCTAGGAGTATCGGTTCACCCCCCTCTCTTTCTGTTATTTATGGCATTTGTGAGTAATGTTTGCAAATCTCTCGGAATACGAGCCACGTTAAAAATAACATTATTATATATGTGACTGGGGCGTTGATTTCCCTTTCGTTGCGCATACGTCTCGGGTTCGTATAACACCCCTCTCCCCCGATCTGTTGACATTTGGGCAGGACGAGTGTCCTGCGAATTCGCGACATTTCTAAGAAGTTAATTAATTCGTTTTGGGTCGCTTTTCTTTCGCTTTTGGAGGGAGGCCTCCGCTTAGCCAAAATTGGCTAACGATTTTATGACCTCAAAGGCGCCGTCATAAAACATGGCCAACTAACTGGACTGGCCCACATTTGCAGACTTTCGCAGACAATTTGCGTCAATTAATTGATTCTTGACGGCATCCGAAGAAGGTTTCATTTGGTTCTCCTACTTAGTTATGCAATAAGTGCGTTTGCCAGACAAATGGAAAAGGCCAAAGGTATCCAGAGAAGTAGAGAATAGTTGCCTGACATTGCATTTCCAGTCCAGAATGGTTTGTCCTTATTTTATTTTTACAGTGAAAGGCTTTTAAACCAAACCAAACCCGCATTAATTACACTTTTTCTGCCTTAATAGATACATGAAATATCTTTAAAGGCGATCCTACCATTCGTTCAAATAAATTATACATGCATCCTAATAAAATGTAGCTTCTACTGTAAAGCTTTGTTGATTAAAATAAAATGAATTACCCTAAGAGATAGTATAAGATAGTATAGATAGTAGTAAGTTGCAAAAAAGTAACGTAAGAACAAGAAATTTTGGTTTTACTTGACCTTTGCGATTAGATTTGTTACAATTAACAAATTACCATTATTCTTACTTAGCTTTTTTAGGTAAATACTAATTCAATTTACACTCGTTCTTTTTAAAGAACCCGTACTGTTGGCGTATGTTTCTCTGTTTCTTTCATTGGGCTCTGTATTCTATTTTGCAAGGCAATAGCCCCAGTTTAGGGTCTAAACTTTGCATATTATATGCCAGCACTTTGCCTTGTTCATGTGGAAGCCGTGCGCCTTTCGAGTATGTAGGTACTCGAATGTCTATGTAATTTATGAATCCCCTAACAAAGTTGTTTGGCCTGCAAACTGCAATTGCCCGTGCTCCCCGCCCTTTTGCTGCTTTTCCGGGCTGCGGAGTGGGCATGGTCTGTTGCATGTGCCAGTTCGCCCGGGGGATTCGCCCCTCCTTGCGATTCCCCTGGCGGTTCCGCCCTCATCCGCTGACTTGGCAAAAGGCGAATCTTGTGCGAGTGCAGGGAAATGGAAATGCTGCCCACTGCTTGTTGAGCGTTGAACCCGCGACCTCGTCGGTTTTTGCGCCTATTTTTAGTGGCCTTAAGTTGTGACAATTAGCCGCGAGTCCATTGAACCCTCTTCGATTGGCTTAAGATGTTGGGGATGACGTAAAGGGAGCCGATCAAAAACCCGCGGGTCAGCTGCCGGAACTCTCAAGCGATGTGTCAATAGGCTGACAAATCTATTTGGCTTCCGAGTTGTAGTCACCGGGCCAAAGGTTGTTGGCCAGTTCAAAGCAATCGATTCGGGAGGGAAGGAAGAAAGAAGCGCGGTTCCCTGTCCCAAAAATAACACGAAATTAGTTGACCTTCAGAGCGGTGGTAAGCGACGTCCTTTTTCTTTTTCTTTTGTGTTTGTGTTTTCTGGGGATTTGTGTTGGTCTTTTCTTGGACCGCCCAGAAAGTGGCGTGCGCTTTTCTTTTCATTTCATTTTATTGCCCGCCTCAAAGCTTGACCCACACTCACACACACACTCACACACACACTCACACACACACGCACACACACACACACACGTGTTGTGGGGGGAAAAATGGCAATCATTGTGTAAATTGTTTACCTCGCCGGGCTAAAGGTGCAAAAAGGAAAACTTGTTATTTTCCCGGCGGCTTCTCGGAATGCTCTCCCACATTCACCCTCAACCTGCATTTTCCGCTGCCTGCTTCAATGTCAAGCGATATGGGCACGTTCCTGCAATTTAGTTTTGTTGTTTCACGTGGTGATTATTTGCTATCCTGGGAAAAAAATATGAAATTAGCTGGGAATTAGTCGACTGACACGCCTACGCAGCAGTAAAGGAAAGGAAGAAACAAAATGTAGTCTACTTCTCGACTTGCTTTAATTACAGAACCCAAAATGAGCGATGAGGGGGAAAGTAAATCGGAGCAGGTGGAGCAACCCGAAACGAAGGAAATAGCCGAGGAAAGCAAGGAGAAAGTTGAAGAGGACGAAGCAGCAGAGCCAATCTCGGGCAGCATTTCAGCCCCAGAAGTTGAGACCCAGCCCGCAAAAGGTGAAACCCAATCGGATAGTCAACCAGGTGAGACAGAGGAAGCACCATCGCAGGACTTTGCCGCCTACGAGGAGCACATGACCTATGCAGCTGATGGTGGGGCCATCTATACGGATCCCAGCACCAAGCAGAAATACAGGTGGTGCACCACACAAAACAATTGGCAACCACTGAGCGCCGACGAGGCTGCCAGTGCGGGGGATCTCTACGAGAACGAGCACTACAAATGGTGTCCCAAAACACAGCAGTGGCTGCCCAAGAAACAGGAAACCGAAACGGAGCACTACAAGTGGGATGATGAGCAGAAGAAGTGGATGCCCAAGCAACCGCAACCCGGTCAGGAGGGGGTCTACGGAGTGGACGAGCAGGGCGAACGTACTTACACAGACAAAGACGGAGCCGAGTTCTTTTGGGATGCCGCCAAGAGTGCTTGGTTTCCCAAGATCGATGATGACTTCATGGCCCGCTACCAAATGAACTACGGCTTCATTGACAACACATCGGCGGGGGAGAAGGAGAAGGCTGATAAGGAGGCGGCCGAGGCCAAGAGAAAAGAGGAGGAACTGAAGCGGATGACGGCTGAGGCAGAGGAGGCAATGGCCAAGGATAGTACGGCAGCCACGGCAGCTCCCACTGGCAAGCGGAAGGTGCAAGAGCCACCAAGTGAGTAGGATTTACTTCCAAAACACCCCTTATATCAAACATTTCCTTTTAGAATGGTTCGAAATGGATCCGTCGCAGAACACCAAGGTGTATGTCTCCAATTTGCCGCTGGACATCACCATGGATGAGTTTGCCGACCTGATGGGCAAGTGTGGCATGGTCATGAGGGATCCGCAGACCCAGAAGTTCAAACTGAAACTGTACGCCGAGAAAGATGGTCAGATCAAGGGCGATGGTCTTTGCGATTACATCAAGGTGAGTGGCCATTAAAAACTACAGATTCCACTTATTGGTTTTTGTGTTTTTTCAAACTTTATTCATTATTTTACTTTGTTTGCGCCTTAACTAGAATTTATCTTGCATAAATATTATATGGTAATTTTATATCATATGTTTTCGTATTTCATTTGTGTTCTGCTTTCCGCTTCAATGATTTCTTTGCTTACGTTTCGCTGACTATTTTGTTTTATTCGCTTTTCACTTATCCGTGTGTATTGTGATAATATTTAAAATTGGTTAGTTTACTATTAAAATGCATTTACTTGGCTATAAAATTGCTTTTCCTTTCGATTTCGTACCCGTCCTTGCCAGCTTTCAATTTCCATTTTAAACGAAACAAAACGTACTGAAAGTTGCCCTTGGGGTTTTCCATTTTTTTTTTCTTGCTTTTCGCGTTTGAGGTATTAAAAAATACATAAAAATTTACATTTAAACATACTTTAGTTATTACATACATCTTTGTAAAGTATAGTTTGTAACCTAAGAAGTTAGTGAATGGTCGGTGACGACCATCCGATGATGTTATCAAAAGATTATTAGTAAGTTATTGCTTCGCTATGCCCGATTAGAGGACACCATAGGCAAACAAGTGCGGGGAGTTGGACTGGGACTCTGACCCAAAGAAGTTTTCCACTCAATCTTACATTTTCTTCACTACAATATTCTCGTGGTTCTGTGCTTGAGTTTAAAAATGCTCGTGATTTGCGTGTATGGGATTTATTGGCTTTAAAATTGATAGCTAACTTCTAGTTCGGTTATTAAGGAAACATGCGTGTCTGGTGGCCATGTGTGTTCTTTGTTCTGTGTCCTGTTTGCTGTGGGTGTATGTGTGTCTGCGTGTGTGTGTGTGTGTGTGTGTATTTGTGTGCTGTAGTGTGTCTATATCCTAGACCTATATATAGTATATCTTTACTGTACAGTACTAATAGAGCTAGCGAAGTGCCTGGAGATTGGGTTTCCTGCTCGATCGAAATGCAATTGAAATTTGATTCCCCTTTTCTCATTCTGGTAAATAATACTTTTGCGTGTTCTTTCTGTGTTTTTTTTTTCCTTTTTTCTGTATATTAGTTAAAGCACAAAGAAAACAATCGAAAAGGGATCGATTGGGCAACGGTGCGTATGTGGAACCAATTAAGATCGATATGTCTCGTTTAGTATTGGTTAGTTGGGGGAAGGATGAATCGCGTCGTCTCGATACTCGGGACTTCTACTCATCATCACCCAACCGCATGGCCTGCTGTATCCGCTTCAGTTCCTTCGCCTTCTGTTCGCGCTCCTTTCGCTCCTTGAGCAGCTTGCGTCGCTTGCGCATCTCGATGAACTTCTGCTGGTCCTCGGGACTCAACGCCGCAATGCGGCTGACATAGAGACGGCGCTTCTCCTCCATCTTGGCCTGGACCTCGGCATCGGCCAGCTCTTTGGCCTTCTCCAGGCGGCGCTTCTGCTCGGCGGCCTTGGCCTCGTCGGCGGCCTTCTTTTTCGCCTCCTCGGCCTTGCGCACCTCCTCCGCCTCACGCATCTCCTGCTCCAGGCGCTCCTTTCGCGCCCGTTCCTCCTCGAGCATCTCCTTTTTCAGCATTTCCTCCTCCTCGGCCAGCTTCTTCTCGGCGGCCTCCCGCTGTGCTATTTCCCGCTCCCGCTGGCGCTGCAGCTCCTCGCGCCGCAGGTTGGCCTCGTGCAGTCGCTGCAGCTCCTTCTGCTCAAAGCGGCGCGTTTCCTCCAGACGCTTTAGTTCCTCACGCTTCTCCTCCTCTATCTGCTTGAGTCGGACCTGCTCCAGGCGTTCGGCCTCCTGTTTCTCCAGCTGCTCCTGCAGTGCCAGCTCTTCACGCCGCTTGGCCTCCTGCGCCTCGGCCAGTTGCTTCTCCCGCTCCGTGTTGGCCTGCTTGAGCTTCGCCTCGTATTCCTCGCGCACTCGCTGCTCCTCTGCCAAGCGCTTCTCGTGGTTCAGGCGATCCAGTTCCTCCTGCTCCTCGCGCTGCTTGCGTCGCTGCTCCTCGCGTTCCCGTCGCTGTTCCGCCTCCAGTTCGCGCTGTTTCTGGATGCGCTCCTGGCGCAGCTTCTCCGCCTCCTCATCGGCGGCACGTTGGCGCTCTGCCTCCGCCTGGCGTTGCTTCAGTAGCTCCAGTTCCCGGTCCCGCTTTTGCTGCTGGTACTCCCGTTCCTGCTGCTCGCGCTGCTGCTTGGCCTTCTGTTCGCGGTTCTGCTGCTCCTGGTGTTCCTCCTCCTCTTGCCTGATCCTTTCCAGCTCCCTTTGATTCTTCTCATCCTGCTCTGCCCGTTGTTTCTTGACCAGCTCAGCCCGTTCTGTCTTTTCCTGCTCCTCCCTCAGCTTCTTTTCCTGCTCTTCCCTTAGCCGCCTACTCTGATCCTCCTCAGAACGGCGACGCAGTTCGTCGAGCTCCTGGGGCTTGGGGTCATCGTGCGAGACCTGCTCCTGCTGCCGGCGCTGCAGTTCCTCCTGCTGCAAGCGCTGCACTCGCAGGCGCTCTTCGCGTTGGCGGCGTTGTTTCTCGCGCTTCTGCTCACGGGCCAATTTCTGGCGTTCCTGTCGGCGCGCCTGCCGACGACGCTCCCTTTCCCGCTGGCGTTGCAACTTGCGATCGTACTGGGTCATCTGGTGCTGGGGAGTTGGTGCGGAAGCGAGGACGTCATTGGATGGACTACTGGATAGAAGTGCCGGGGGAGCTACAGTAGTTGTAGTGGAGGCACGAGGACGATTCCTCGGGCGCTGCTGAGCTGGGTAGTTCACATCGTTGGGATGCTGATTCTGGTTCGGGCGATTCCTCTGGTTGTTGCGACGATTGTTGTTGCGGCGGCGATTGGGAATGACCATCTCCTCGTCACTGCCCTCGGCCTTAACACGGCGGTGGTATCTAAAAGAAAAGGGAAACACAATCATTAGTTAATCATTTCCGCTTTCAGGTGGAAAGTGTCAATCTGGCGCTTAAAATCCTGGACGAGTATAATTTGCGGGGCCACAAGATTCGGGTGCAGAGAGCTCAGTTCCAAATGCGTGGGGAGTACAATCCCGCCCTGAAGCCCAAGCGAAAGAAGAAGGACAAGGAGAAATTGCAAAAGATGAAGGAAAAGTGAGTGATCCAGCAATCGAATTGGGGCTTCAACCTATAGAGATCATTATTTTCCATTAGATTATTCGACTGGCGGCCAGACAAAATGCGTGGCGAGCGCTCAAAGAATGAGAAAACAGTCATCATTAAGAACCTTTTCACCCCGGAACTCTTCGAAAAGGAGGTGGAACTCATCTTGGAGTACCAGAACAATCTGCGTGAAGAGTGCAGCAAGTGCGGCATGGTCCGCAAAGTGGTCATCTATGACGTAAGTACTCTGATAGTTTCTTTCAAAATCAGCATGTATCTTATATTCCATTCCAGCGCCATCCCGAAGGCGTTGCCCAGATCAACATGTCGTCGCCGGAGGAAGCCGACCAGGTTATCCAAATGATGCAGGGACGCTATTTTGGCCAGCGACAGCTAAGTGCCGAGTCCTGGGATGGCAAGACCAAATATAAGTAAGCTTAGAAAAACTTTCTAATCGAGATCGATTGCTGACTCTTTAACAACTCATCCACTTGTAGAATTGATGAATCAGCTGTGGAGGCCCACAAACGCCTCTCCAAATGGGATGAGTTCCTGGCAGAAGAAGAAGCCGCAGCAGGGAAAGCAGCAGCAGCAGCAGGGGAGGAGGAAAAGGAGGATGATGACTCGCCGGACAACCAGCTGTTGCCCGGAGATGCCACCCCTTAGACTCAATTTACCTGCGATCGTTCTCACGCGGTTCAAGGATCTCCAGGACCACCTCGTTGGCCTGCTCGTTCGGGTAGGTGGCGTTCCAGCGGTTGTAGATCTTGTAGCGATTCGGCCCGCTCACCTTGGGCATCTTGTGCTGGCAGATGAAGCGCAACTTATCCGAGCAGGGACGCGCCGACCAGCGGTACTTGAGATTCGGATCGTAGATGGCGCAGTTATTGTCCTGCGGTTGGCTGTTGGAGATAAGTTGCACATAGCTAGAATTGTTGCTTAAGCGTTGTAGTTAATCTACGGAAATAAAGGCAGATAGGAAAGAGCATTGAAAAGATCAACTTACGTGGGATCGGTGTGTGTGAAGGAGTCGGTGGACAGGTTGCGGCCGCTCATGCTCCACTGCCATCGGTGGTTGTGATGATCATAGGTGGCACCCAGCCAAATGGGGTCTTTTTCTATTCAGGGGGAGAAAGGAACAGGACAGGAAATATAATATTTATGAGTTCATCTTTGATTAAAACTCAATTAAGTTCAACTTAAAACGATTAACTCACCACCTGACTGCGCATCGTGTTTCTGAAGGAACTGCCTCAGTTTGCGGTCAGCATGTTTGCCCGGCTCCGTCAGATTGGCGTTCTTGTCCTTGCAGAAGAAGTGCGCCTCCAGCCAGCTGCTGCGCTGGTCCACCAAGGAGTAGCAATCGGTTCCCACGCGCTGGAACTGCGGCGGACACATGGCGTATACGCGACGTTTTGGTCTGGGAGTTGGAGCCACTGCATCCGGACTTTGGCCCGGCGAGGGGCCATCGAAGCTTATTCCGGCATGAGTAGCGCTGGAATGGAACTCCGCCGGAATTGTGTGAGCAACTGAGGGCGTAAAAGGATTTTCAGTAAATTAACGCGGCAACTGCATGTGCAACCACTCACATAAAGCTAAGATAAATACTTGACAGCACCACATTTTATGGCTGCCACTCATTTTGATGCCTGCTACTTGCTGGACGATGATGATGATGCGGGGTTTTATTTTCTGTTTTTCCCGGCTAAGATGAATCTCTGGTTTTGCTCTGTTTTTCTCGTTCTGGCCACTTCTTACATCGCTCAAGTGACGACGGGCTGCAAAAAAAGGGAATGAAACGAAAACAAACGATGAACATTCGTTAATCTCTCAACTCGTCTGCTTATCATAATTTTATTTCAGCAAATGTTTGTTTTATGCAAATATATTCCGGCGAAGGAGCCTCTAACAAGTGTTTCCGTTGATGGATGGACACACAAACGCCTCCACACTGCCCAAGACAAATTGAGCCGACGGGAATATATTCAAAGAGATTTATTTTATTTATTGGCCCCCATTCATAAGCAGCTTTGGCCACGAAACTGGTCATCTCTCTGTTAGTCAGTGTCCGTCCACTCAACGAGTAGCTCATTTGGCCGCTCATTGTGTGGCGTTTCAATTAACACTTTCATAACTTTAACCACCTCGTCAAGTGGCAGACAACCTGGTCAAAAGCCGTCACTGTAGCTGCCACCGTCACCGAGGCTTGTTATTGCATTCTATTTTCAATTTGTTGACACACCAAGTGCCTCAGACTCAGTGTGTGTGAATGGTGTGTGTACCGGCTGCAGTGACCCACTTTTCGCATATAAATGACTGGAAATGCCGCGGGTTAATCCGCTAACTGCAACTTAAGGGTCTTGGATGCAGCTTAACAAAAATTTGGTTCTGTTGAGTCAGATGAGAAACTCGAAAAGTTGAATATGATTTTCTAAAAGCAATCCACTTTAGCCGTAGAATAAAATGAACCCCGGGTCTTATGTTGTTTTTAAACCAAATGTTTTAATCTAAAGCAATAAATCTTGAATTTTTTGCATTATCCATTGACTTCAAAATTTGTTAAACGAGTCTTGCAGAAAATAGTTAACTTGCGTTTATATATATAAAACAATTTAATCTTTATAGAAATTTTGCAGAATTAAACTATTTTGCAATTAAAAATGTATGCCTAATTAAAAAAATGTTATAAAATATATTTTTTAAGTTCAGTTTTGCTTATCAATAAAACTACTTTCATCGTTTTAGAAAATTAAATTTCAGTTGTAAAAAATTCCTCATAAATGCGTAGATTTGTAGCTCTGATAAAAACGGGGTTCAGAAAAATCTTATTCCACTTTGAACCTAATTTAAAAGTGAAAGTAAAGAAGATTTAATGATAAACCCAAATTTAATTAAAAGTTTGGCCTACCCTGCAAGTTCGACCGTAACACGTCTTTCACCTTTGACATTCCAGCCAACTTAATTAAATGATCTATCATTTAAAGCTTTTAGCGATGGAATTACCTGTTTCAATTGCACTCTTTCAGCAAATTGTGGGCTTGATTGTGTCATTTTAATTGAGCCATTCGAGCGTGCGGCTAATTCATCGCCTCCCCTTTCATTTCCCCCAAAGACCAGTGCACACGTATGCGCACGGCTAGTCATATATAATTCCTGTAAAATAATTCATGCCCACGAAAGCAAACAAATTAAGGGGGGGGGAAAGAAAAGAGTTGAAGAAGTAAACACACGCCGGCCAACTGGCTTGACAGCTTCGCCAGACAGGCCGGAGTTACCTGGTTTTGTCTTGGCTCCCAGCCATTATTGGCTTGTGCCTCTTGGCTTTTCTTGGCCAACGGCAATCGACAACGAATTCCTCACCGGTGACGACTTGACATTCATTATGGCCCCGCTACACGGAAAAATATTATTGAACTCTATTTGAAATTGATCATTTCCAAGCAGAAGATTTTATTAAATTACAAGTCTGATTTCCTAACTTCAAATTGGCGATTCTCCTAATGGCTTTCTTCTAATAGCTTTAGTTTAGCTATAGGCCAACTTTTTAGAATTAAATAGGCTATTTTAAACAATATACTTGCGAAAAAGAGTCTCCCATAATTATTATTATTATTATTATAATTGACTGCCAAACATTTTTGTTTTTATAATAGATTTTAACTAACAGTCTTGGAAAAATATTTATATTGTTCTTAAATAAATCCCAATCGTAATAATAATATAACTAAATTGTATGTTCTACAGTAGTTATCATAATTAGGTACTTTTTTTGATTGATCCTATATTAATAAGTAAGAAAATCCAAATAGATGAGATGATTCATAATTTTCTCTGCGTGCTGATCTTGGAAAGGTTCAGTGGCTGTAATTGCTGTCTCTGCAGGCGGTTTGTTTACTTGTTTTCTGGTTTGTTTGCTCGACCCGATGACGCGATGACGCGAGAGTTCCCGGCAGTTGGACCTTCAAGATACCGCCGATCCACGATGTTGTCAACATTATTACAACTCGACATTCGTTTAAGTGGCTAATAAAAAGAGAGACGGCACCCACACACAAGTAGGCGCAGGGAAAACGTCTGAGAGTGGGCGGAATTTGACTGATTTATGACCCACTTCGGATGCAGTTGGCTGTGGGAGCCTAGACGACATTCAAATGTCGCGGAAAATGATGAAGGGGAAATCGGAAGACCTTGATCTTGAACTTGGGCGGGCCTGTAATGATTTAAATTTGGGCATTACTTCATCCACACAGCTGAAAATGTGAGTTTAATTGGGTCGTATCAACAAGTTTCGGGGAATTAGACTTAAAAAAAAAAACGTTAAAAACAAAAGACAGGGGAATCAATCAGACGGCAGCTTAGACCCAAAAAGTATACACATTTGGGACTTATTATTATTTTTTGTAATAGCAGAATCTGCCTGTAGAACTAATCCGAACCTTTTTCGTAACCTTGTCCATTCGAGGCTAGAGATAAGCTCATCAGCACTTTGGGTTTTAAGACCCGAATTTCGGATACCTAAGAGAATCGCAATGAGAATGGGAAACGTATTTAAATCACACGTGTGCCCCCATCCAAGATGTTGATAAATGAGCAAGGGGCGTGTGATTGCTTTTCTGTTCGGGAACCGAATTTACATTTATGAGGTGCTGTTTCGGTGCTACACGAAAATTAACATAAATTATGGACTTCCACAAAGTTATTATGCCTATGCGATGATATATGATATGTAATTTAGTCGCTATTAGAATCTCATCAAAAACAGCGCTGAAAATTGAAGAGCCCCGAACCGAGCGAATTGGGAATAATTGAGATCTCTTGAGCAGATCATCACCCACTCGCAAACTCGCCAGCCATCAATCAAATCGCCAAACGAATTCGAGTTAAAAGCAAAAGTTGAATGGCTGCGTCAATGGCAGAAACATCTTTTGGACTTAACCTCTTCATGTCGGGTTCAATGCGAACGACTGCCAAATAAATTAAAAATACTAAACAGCGGCTTAGAGATCGGCATGCGGCTGGGAAGTGGACAAATTGGTGGCATTAATCTTGGCCCTGTCATATCTTTGTATGTATGTTGGGGGAGTTCCTGGCCAGCAGATGTCGTAATCAATTACGGGAATCAACCCGTTCTTGGCATAATTAAGTTGCCCAACGAATTTGCATAGATTTCGTTCGCTCTGCGAAGTAAACAAACACTTTAAATCGATAGCAAATTGCTGGCTAAATACCAGTTTGTGGCTTAATTAAAGGTAAATGTTTTTGTGCGGTTAATTTGTAGCCATAGGAAGTTAAACATTTATAAATACAACAAATGGGTTTCTTTTCGTTTGATTCGCTCTGGCCTAATTAATTTATGCGCATTTCATTGATTTAAATGCAATCGCAGAGCGCGCCACGCGAAATAGTTCAGATTCAGTGAAAACCGGGTGTAAATGATGGCTATAAATTGCAATGCAGCTTTTCATTGCTCGTCTGCGGGTTAAATGTGCAAAATCGTGGACGGCCAAAATAATTTATACGCATCTCTGCCAGATTCAAGCCAATCACTCGCTGCACCGTCTCCCTCGATGGCAGCGAAAAGTAGCCGAGAAACGTTTTCACAGCTGCCATTCCATTGCCATTTCCACCATTTTCGCCACATTTCTACCTGTGCAATTGCCAGCACTTTCATGGTTCACCTGTG